TTGCAGGAATCACTTGAAACTGAACTGAACCATTTACTACAGACATAAAAAACAGCCAGTCGCGAGACTGCACGTGCTACTGTTGTTTACAAACAATATAACAATGCACGGAAAGTATTACATGTAACCAGACACAGTTCTATAATGCCCTAGTATCTTCTAGGGACAAACCTATAAAACAAACCGGTGCCCTAGTGTCTTCTAGCGACAAACCTAAAACAAAGTCAAAACCGTCGACACTAAAGTGCATGACAGAATAAATAGTTGCATATTGACAACAGTTTGTCCTGAAGCGGGATTTCAAGGCCCCCCTCCCCTATTGGCAGACCCCCCCCCCCTCCCCATTGTTGAAACCCGTCGGAAAATTGGAAATTTGTTATGTTGTCGAATCGATACGTAAGAAAAGTTATTTCAAAGTATGTGTAATAAAATGCAAGTCGACATGAATGTATCGATAGGAAATGTAAACAATTAAATATGCAGCGTCAGCAGCAATAAAAATAATTATTACCTTAGAGATTACATCAAGTAAATATGCTTGTGATTCCGCATAAACGTACAAACTCACAGACAGAATCAGTAAAGCCGGTGTCAAACTTGGACGGGCACCGCAATTTAAAGCCATATAACCTTGGGGCTGCGGCTATGTTTTTTACGTTCGAAAAAAGTTAAAATGCATGCTTGGTCGTGCGTGCGTACGTGCGTGCGCGCAGTATGTATATACACATATACTGTAGACAAAGTAACTTGAATGCAAAGAAAATCATTAAGAAGTAAACTCTGTGTTCTCAGTGTCATTTACAGTGAAGCATGTTAACTTTTTGAATAGAACAAGCGTAAGATATTGGAATCGTAACGCGCCGGTTAATAAAATCCAAGCACGCAATTACGCTAATATTGTACATGTTTAAGATCAAATTTCGCCAAGACACAAAAGAATCCCAAACATCTGAAATCGTCGTCGAATGACTACATCCTAGCCCTAACGAATTATGCATATGTACCTTTATAAAGAAAGTAGGACCATTTTTAAATAGGCGATTTCCAAGACGTACTTTGGCTAGTTTGGAGAACCCGGAAATTTCAACCATCTTTGATCTAAAATAACCAAGTCAATAACATTTCGATTTATGGAGAAAAGATATCACAAGAAAGTTCCATATATTCTAAAAACATATATTGGAACAGCAGACCAAAACTTATAATGCGCGCTCAGCACAGCACATGATGTTTACTGCTTTATTTAGCGACATTTCTTGGACATTTCGCGTCATTTTTGGTTCGATTTTTGAAGTACTCTAACTTTTCTTCATTTTGTGTTTCATGGCTGAAACTTCAGTAAATATGTGGGGTTGGATAGGTCTACAATATATATAAAATCGAGGGAAATTGAAGAACTTTCAGTTTTTCATATCTGCCAGAAAATGGTGAATTATTGCGATTTTTACAGACAAGCTCTCTTAAATATATAAAAGGATTGCTGTTGTATTACTTGTATATGTATATGTACAAGTGTTGTGCTGTGGTACAGGCAAACATTTCTTAATTTCTGGGGGGTGTTGGTGTCGGCACTTTGATATTTTTTCTTAAGGGGGGTGTACATCGTCCATAGGTGGTGTGTACGTTAAATGGAATGGCCCAAAGCACCCAGATGCGCCCTACTTTGTTAGTTTACTCTGTCTAACATCAGACAATTTTACTCATCAGGTGGAGAGTGCATGGCGCCACTCAATGGGTTAACATAGTTGATGAACATGCCAAATGATCCTTGACCGTGGTAGTACATTTTTGCACTTGCTGGATGATATTGCAACCAAGCATTGTTTCAGAGGAAGAGCCCTGAGGTCATGCTGTGTAGCAATTGGAATCTCGCATAGAGCCTGCTCTCACATAAAGCAGGCAAGACCTTCACTCAGAAGCCAGTCCTGATCAATATTAATTCCCAACATAAACACTTGGAAACCAGACTGTCCCATCTGCCACATGCAGGACAAAAAACATGCAGCCTGGACTTTAACTGTTAAACAACTAAATCAGCATGATAAACAGTGTGATGATTTTTGCTTAGCCCAAACCAAAGCCAGTTTTCTAGAATTAATTTGCAGAATCCTAAGAATTGGACCGCCAACTTGAAGAGCTAGCTGTGCTAACCAAGTTGCATGGGCAACCCTGAATTGACGTGACTAGAGCAAATCTTCAAAAAATAATAGAGAGATCAGATTTGACTTCCACTGCTGCTATTGCTACCATTAACTAGATAAGTTTCATTTATCCAATCAAACAATCGGATGCAACTGCCAGATCAAGTAGTGGTAGTGGAAGTCAAATTTGAACCTTTCTATATGGATTTCAGAGAGACCAGTCATTATTTGCTGATATATTATTATAACTTGTTTAATCAAAAGCTACTATATATTCATTTATGATATTAAAAATTGATATAATTTTATCTAAGTGAGAATAATTTTAAAAAAATATCCATAACATAAAATGATTCATGCATGCTGGTGATTGAATAAACCATGGAGTGTGCATTCTGAATCTCCACAAGTTCCTTGACATTATTTTTCCAGTACAGTGTAAAACTATATATATAAATGTGATAGGTTGCAGGTATTAGGTTGCATGTCCACCAGTGTGCTGAAATACCATCCAGTGACCCGGTCTGGTTCATTGTTACTTGCATCTTGCTTAATTCAACTGTTTTCGCCCTATTTCTTGTACCCATAAAATTCTTTTCAATAATCTAGAAAACTTCAAAATCATTCAGTAAATTTAATTTTAATATTGGGTGAAAGGTAAGGGGTCAATAATAGATGAAGAAATTATTTCTCACTGTTCATACATATGGCCCCATCTCTGTAGGGTATTAGAGTAGAAATTTATTGAAGCCTGAAGTCAGAAAATAAATATGGCAACATGGTTACATGCCATACTGCAGAGTTAGGCAATTTTTTTAAAGATCTCAAGGGCACAAAAGGTATAAATATAGATTGTAGGGGCAAGGGAACAAAATAATGAAATTTTGAGATTCAGAGGCAGGTTTTACAATGGGGTGCTAAAACTTTTCCCTAAAAAATCCCTGACCAGCTGGAGTGCTGAAACTGATGTTTGACTATTGAAATATCCTAGCAGGTTAGGTTCATCAGATTTTAGTTTTGTCAACCTGGCCACTCTGTTATTACAGTAATGGCTCATTTAAATAATTTCAGGTCATTACTGTATAAATGTAAATACAAAGTATTTGAAGTTAATACTGCTGTAAAATGTAGTTTAATAATACTGTATTAAAGTGTAAACACGTTTCTCGCAGCGATAAATCAATATATTGTAAATAATAATCATGTGAGAGTAGAACTTTACTGAGGGTCCGAGTATAGTATTATAGGTCATAGTCTGGCCATGTGTTTCTCAATATTGACAATATTTAAACTACAATTGTACAAATTCAGCTAACTATATTAACATATTGTATAAAATATATTACAGTAAATAGCCTTCGAAATATATATTTCATAGAGCTAGACAGTGTAACAAATAATGGGAATCTGCTAAATAATTTGTAACAGAGAAATACTTCTAAACATTTTCAAATTCATATATACTGCACCTTTTTATCACTTGATGGAAATCATCACAAATAGTATGGACGAGAATACGAGATTGGCTCCATTTTCACTGCTTCGAAATTCGAAACATCGCCTCCTCGGCGATTTACATGATGCGATATAAAAGAAGATTGATGTACATTCGACGTAATATATATACGTAACATATTAAGAAGAAAGATTACAACAAAAAATAAAAGAATATAAATAATCCGCGGCAATTCAAGTTCCATTCGTGAACTTTTCGTCGCCCCCTGTCTTTATTTCCACAAAGCCCGCTCGCAGGCTAATACTCCAAGAATCTTGGAGTATTTGCCTGACACGTGACCAGCGTTTACCAGGGCTACGCACTGAGGGCTACGTACGAGGTTGCGGTATTCTGCGATGTTGTTACGAATTTGCATCGAGTACACGAGTTCTAAACGAGTAATAGCGACCATTGCCAAATATGGAAATGTTCGCTAACACGTGACCTTGCATTCATATTACGAAAATTCTTGGCGGCCATTTTAAAAAATCTCGGTTGGTTTCTGTTATAACTTTAATAAACTGCGTATTTTTAGATATAAATTGAAGTGAATATGGCATTTGCTTTAGTGCATTTTTATAAAGAAGATTCGTGGGATGTTATCCCATCGACTGATTTGATTATTGAAGATAAAAACATGCAAAAAGAAGCACTTGTGGGTTTGAAAACTCTAGTGATATGGAGAGATATTAAAGCAAGAGGAAAGGGCAAAGAAACAAAAGTTCCTGCTGAGATATTAAACGTTTCAGGTTTGTGTTTTGAAATATCTATAGCAGTATAGTCTCGACAATACTTATGATATTACTATACTTATGCTAGTATTTACTGTAGAAGTAAGCTCATTGTTGCTGTGGCCAATTTCTAAGGAATATTTTTTCTGCAGCATCAATTTTCTCATAAAAAATTTTACATTTTTATCACAGCATGCATTTACAACATATAGTGCTTTTATATCAACATTTTTATCACTGATTAAATTGTAGAATCACACTTTGTCATTTGCTACTTTCATTTCTGTTGGGTGTTAATACAAAAAAAAAAGAAGTTTTCACACAACCCTTCACCCTTGGACCTATTTTGGGTAGCACATTTTGCTGTTGAGTTCATGGCTGGACTTGTTCCTCTTTATTAAAAATTCTAACTAGCCTATGAGCCGGTATGGGAAAATCCACTAAAGTGTGACATATTACCAAATGCTGAGTTAATAGATAGTCCAAGTGATGAAATTACATAATTTTAGCCGGGATTATACCAAATATATTACCAAATTCTGTAATGTGTAATTCCTATGTTCTGACAACATGTGTGATAATGTCATGTGTACTGCAGGGTCTTAGCCATCCATCTTTTGGATGGTTAATTACAATTGATTTCTTCCCTCCCTCTCCGGACAGCAGAAATTTTCTCTGTGGGGAGTGTGGATCTTTTCTGGAAAGAGCTGCCATTATACACATTAGATATATCCTTTTAGGCTACATGGGATTTTAACAATTAATACAACAGCAGTTGAGTTGTGACGATTATTAAAATATTTTGTTCTATTGTTTGATATTTATGATTATTAACACTTTTTGTCTGCATACTACCTATATTGCAACTGAAAAATATGCAACATCCCTGGCCCCAGTTACCATGGCCCAAAATGGCCAATTTGGTCACCCAGTTTTGAGATCCTGGCTAAGACTCTGGACTGAGTGCATCTTTCGGGCCTAACAGTGAGAAAAACCAAGGCGTTAAAAATTAGTAAAAATTTAAAAAAAGCGCCCGCCTGCCCACTTTTTGGCAAAAGCTAAGGGCTCTAACCAACTATTTTTTATGTGGCCTAATGGTAAACATTTATAAACTGCACATGGTGCCTTGTTCAATCATGATGACTGAGAAATTGTCTGAATATTTCTAAAAACAGATAGCAAGGATTATTTGCTAAAAACAATGAATGAAGAGAACAGTTCCCCCATAAAGACAGGAAAAGGGTGTCGCAAAAGAACAAATAACACAAAGTACTTCAATGAAATAGATGATGAATCGGAAGATATGGTAAGATACAGTAATGTACATATGCTACTGTGCACACCAATGACCAATTATAAATTTATGATATACATGCATGTATGATTGCATATGGCCTAATATTTTAATAGAAATGTATTTGCTGTGCCGTCATGTTCATTAAGTCAGGCAATATTGTGTTGAATAAACTAAATTTGAATAACATATGACTGAATAAAAAGATGGAAGGATTACAAACCCTAGAAACAGCATTTCTAATATTAATTCCACCAAGTGAAGTGCAAGAAACCAGATCATTGAAATCCACCTTATCACAACCCGCACACCCGATCACCTATATATACATGAACTTATTATTACAGCTTAACAGCTGGCGTCTGTAGCTCAGTTGGTTAGAGCGTTGCACCAGAATCGCAGGGCGTAGGTTCAATTTCCACCAGAAGACCTTGTGCTGCATTTTTCACAGTCGTTCCTGGTCAGGTCTTAATTAACATGTACATATACTCACTTGGATTACAAACCCTAAAAACAGCATTCTAATATAAATTAATTGCACCAAGTGAAGCGCAACAAACCAGATAATTGAAGTCCAGTGAGTCCACCTTTATAGATTGAACTTTTAACATGCTAGTGAAGCTGTTTTAATAGACTAAGTGTAAGTGTTGGCTAAATCCTTTCCATCCTTTAATACCTGTCAATTTGCTTATTTTTTTAGATTTAAAGAATTCCTTAAGAAAGCTGAGGAGATATGTGACTTCCTAGGAAGACTTGCCCAAAGCAACACAGCGACCTGCGGGTTCATTTTCAGGAAGAAGTACACCGCCAATTGTAGCTGGAAGATCTTCGCCTATCCTGTCAACTACGAGCAGTAACTCAACAATAACTTTATCTGGCAGATCTGCGGCATGCAATGGATATTCACCAGTGAGCTCGAATGTGTCTTCCCCTGTGTCCTCAGGAAGATCTACTCCTATTGTTAATTTCGCTCCTTTGGAGACTGCATGCAGTGGAAGCTGTTCAATAATGTTGGAAGAAGACCCTCCCACTTCAGCAACTCTTGATATGCAGAATCCCACAAGTGAAGCATCAAAAGAAAACTCTGCAGATGGTTTGGATCAAACAGCAGATGAATATCTATCCTCAGATATGGTATGTATATTTGAATCTATTTTTACCAATTTATATAACACCCTATAATGAAGTCTGTAGCATTTATTTTGCAGCTGAAATTGAGATGCTATTGTCATGTTCACCGCATAAATTGGCGCGTCCAACAGTATATACTAATATAGATATATAATTTTATATATTAAACTCTTTATTATATATGATTGAAACAAGAACAGTCTTGTAATGTTTGAGAGCCAAATGTCAAAATGCAAATAAGTTGCTGATGATATGTTTCGCTCGCTTAAATAAATGATTACAAAGCCCAGTCGAATTGTAATCAAGACCCAACGTTTCGACACCCCAGTCTAGTGTCTTCATCAGGAGTGATCTAAAGATGCAATCGTGGCTTCTTAATTTAAATACCCAAGGGATGACATCACCTGCCATGGCTGCCAATGAGATCGATGCATGTATTCCTCTCGCGAGTAGGCATCGTCATCCCTATTGAAAGCAGGATTGTTCATATCTATATGCCACGCTTTTATAGGCATTGTTTGTGGCAGAAGCTATGGTCAAAGACTTTGCCTAGAAGCGTGGCATATAAATATGAGCATAAATCATGCTTTGAATAGGGATGACGGTGCCTATTTCCTAGAGGAATACATGCATCTGGCAGGTGAAGTCATCCCTTGGGTATTTAAGAAGCCACAATTGCAACATTACATCACCCCTGATGAAGACACTAGACTGGAGTGTCAAAATGTTGGGTCCCGATTACAATACGACTAGGCTTTGTAATCATTTATTTAAACCAGAGTAGCGAGCGAAAAATGATTGATATACCTGCTTGCAGTGAACGAACAAACTTTAAAAGTTGCTGATGCAAAATATACTAAATTTATTTTTAGTCTTACAGTATATAATGCACCAGTGAATGGAACGAGTAGTAAAGCATTATAATTATGTATCAAAAAGTGGTAAAATAATTATTCGTAAATATCTTGCAGGTCACGTTGGGTCCAAATTTAGTTTTGAAAAGAACTGTTTTTAAAAAAATTATGCCCAAGAAAGTTGGATCGTACGTCGCAAGCATAATGGAGGCTACGTTGTCACGGGAACACATGGCTACCCACAGTTACAAGGGGCAAAAAGGAAAAAATGGCCAAATTAAACCAAAGCTTGATCATATTTATACTTCTTCCTTGATTGGTAAGCAAATACTACTTTATTTGAATATGGAATATCAATCTTAAAAAATAAAAACAACCCAACCCAAACATACTCTATTCTGACCGACTAAAGGAGGATTTCCTGTCCTCGCATGAAGCTCCTAACAGCTCACCATTAATAATTAATGGAGCAAATAATTATACTTCATCGCTTCTTCCTTATTCTAGCTCATGCAAAGGCTGTGAAGTATTCTAGTATGCCACGTCAAGTTATTGAAGAGGATATTATAAAAGCTATGAAGTGCAAACTAAATAATGAGGAAAAGGCATGGAAGAAACAGAGTGAACTTGCCAATGAGTAGCATTAATTTTATATATTCTATATTCACATATACTCTACATAGATATCGTTTGATATTGCTGTTTAAATTAAATATTTTTGCTGAAATATACATTTACTGGGTTTTTTATGTAATATTACGCTGAGTGTATATCCACACCGGGCAGGCTGAAAATTTTCCCCGACCACGGTGGGGATCGAACCCGCAAGCTTTGGGATACTAGTCCAATGCTCTCCCAAATGAGCTACGAGACCAAGTCATATTAACGCTGATTTTTTGTGCAACGTACTCTTCACTGTAACAATTATTCGCCGAAGGCGAGGTGATTATTGGGGAATATTTATCGAGACGAAGTCGAGGTGAATATACCCCGATAATCACCACGAGCCTGCATGAGGCGAATAATTGTTTTAGTATTTTACAGAAGTCTTTTGTGTTTTTTGGGACCGATTTTTTTTTAAATTTCGCTGCGCTTATTTCTTTATCAGTAACTCCGGCCAAAAGCGGCTAGCTGCCATTTTGCATATTTAGGTTTGTTATACCTGCAGGTAATTAAATATAACAGTTTAATACGTCAAATGTGACCAATCAACTTGTGGAATGTAGGATTTATTACATTAATTCATTTGTGCAAAAATACTATATATTCAAACATACTTATGCAATTGTTTTGAAAGTCCTTACTAACCAAACATAATTTAGCAAAGGACTAAACTAAATTTCCCAGTTAATTTTAACTATTTTTCCAAACTCCTTCGCTTTAGATTTTAAAATATAGTTAAATGTTATAGTTCTTATAGATAAACTATAGATAAACACTATACCTCTTAAACAATATTTCTTAAAACTATATTTTTGAAAACTATACTATAGTTCTCAAAACTATAGTTAGACACTGCACTACAGTTCTCAAGACTATAGTTAGCCACTATAGTTCTTAAAACTATAGTTCTTAAAACTATAGTTCTTAAAACTATAGTTCTTAAAACTATAGTTCTTAAAACTATAGTTAAATTTATAAAAAAAACTATAGTTTTATAAAACTATAGTTTATAAAAACTATAGCTCAAATTAACTATAGTTTTTGTTCCAAAATACTATAGTTCTTAAAACTATAGTTTTCGTGTAAAAAACTATAGTTTTCGTGCAGAAAACTATAGTTAATTTTTGTAAGGGAGGCGAGCTATAATACTAGTCGCAAAAATATTTCTTTTTACCTGGCAAAGGGCATCTTTTTGAAGCTCTAGGTGTTCCACGAACTTGACCGCTCTTTCCAACGTTTGTTTGGATATCATTGTAGGGCATTGTTCTAATGGTTGTCCATTTAGTAATGAGCTTGTGGCGTGGGTAAAAACATGGAGCGCCAACGCTATGCGGGGAACCAAATCGGACTTCTTGGATTTAGGCGGCATGACACCATCCAGTATTGCGGCATTTACATCAGCTGTGAATGACGAATTCATTTGTTGGAGAAGTCGAATTGCTTCTGTTTCGAAATTGTATTCTTCAGGGTTGTCTTGGTGAATTTGTTGTATCAATCCAAAGATTTCTTCGAAATTGTCTATGGGTTCTGTGTCGATGTAGTCTGTTGCGTTGGTCTGCTGTTCAGGAGTAGGTCGAAGTGCCAATGGAACAGAAATGAGAAATCTGTCCATTAGCCCATGTCCTTGGTCCATTCGTGCAATGAGTTTTGCGGCGTTCTGCATTTGAGTTGAGCCAAGGATAGCGAATGGAGTATTTGCTTCAATCTCGCGAGTGTGCTCTGTGCTGAAATGGTAGGTCGTTCTTTCTCCGGAGAAAAGTTTACATAACAGTTGGACATCCCCACTCGCTGCTTCTTCATCGGACTTCAGCAGCTTGTGAAAGGCCTACTCTGGGGCGGTAAATCACCTTAAATCGCCTAAAATCGCCCAAAATCGCATTAAATCGTGGGTTAAAATGGTCAAATTTCTCTTAAATCGCCTAAAATCGCTTTAAATCGCCTAAAATCGCTTAAAATCATGGGCGTACTGGGTGGGGGTGGGGGGTGGGGGGGTGGAGGGGTGACGGGATGACCGCCCCCCCCAGTTTCTGGCTGGGAGGTCGCCCCCTCGCTTTGTTGTGCAAACAAAGCCAGCCGGGCAATATTCGCTTCACAGTCGGGCAATTTTTGTTTATTATAGAAATAAATGGGACAAATGCTGTCAATTTTGTGGGAAATTCTGTCAATTATGTGGGAAACATGCTATCTAATAGGAATTTTTTGTAATCACTTCTCTCCCCCCCCCCCAATCACTTCTTTCCAACCCCCTAATATTTTCCTTCCCGTACGCCCATGCTTAAAATCGCATTAACTCGCCAACATGCATTCTGTTTGATACATTCAGTCAATAATGTACTCAAGTTTATCAATTGCTGCTATTTTGCTGGCAAATCATGTATAATCCAGGTGTTTTGCAATCAAAAGTAATGCAACATGGATAAATCAAATAAGTGGATTAGGCTGACAATATTTAGTCACTCAATAGGCTCCGG